TGCTCAATAGGGGTCAATAGTGGATATATCTGTCAGTGGTTCTAAGAAGTTATGCTTCAATTCCATTAGCAGATCTAGAAAAAGACCTTGTGATTCCCCTGCAGAGAGACTGTGTATGATCCATACTAACTGCTGAAATACTGGTCCCAAGACTGTTCCAACTGGCCGGTCGAGTGACATTGAAGTGTTGTTGTTTATTCGCTCCAGAGAGCTTCAGGACACAAGGAAGATGGATGGGTATTCTTCCTGTGCACAATTAAACCACACATTTGATCCTGTCACCTTCCCTGTGTCAACTTTCCCTGTGTTCTTTAGAAGTCAGCAGTAATGAATGATGCAGATCAAATCTAGATGCTGACACTTATCACACTTGTTCCTTCTGTTAAAAAAAAAAAAAAAAAAAGGTCATTTTTGATCTTAAAAAGTGAAGGTAATTTTACTTCTGTAAATCTCTAAAGAGTTTTAAGGGTTAACTGAAGTGCATCATTTGAACAATGTGTTAGCAAATGGAGCCATCTGTATCCTTGGTAAGAAACACTGAACACAGAGCTGCGATCAGCTTATCCTCCTTAGACATTGACACCACTTGTTCTCACAGCAATCTGGCCTTGTTCACAGACTTTAAGGACCTTTAAAAAATCCTAACACTGTATAGCTTGACTATACAATGGGTGTATGTTTGGTGGCCCTGCTAGGAAGGGGGGTTGGAACTACATGATCCTTGAGGTCCCTTCCAACCCGGGTGATTCTGTGATTCTGTGTGATTCTGTGATTCTGTGATTCTGTGTATCTCTCTGGCTGATAGCGCTCATGGCCCACTGCCACCTTCCCCATCATCTTCCCACATCTTAGCCCCATGTCATTACTACTCAAAAGAATGTCTCTTCACCAGTTTCTCAGCTGGAACCAAAGCAATTATTTGAATGAAGCTGTCCCAACCCTCAGACAGGTGAGCTGCCCAAGCATCTGCCTGGCCATTTGGCAAGCATCTGTCACGTGCCAGATGAAGGGTCTGCCTCGCGCTGTGTCCTGCTTCCAGCAATGACCAGATGTGGGTACCTGGGTAGACTCCAAACGGGACAGGCATGCATTTCCAGATCATGCTCCCAGTGTTCAGACATTTTCAGAGTTCTCCTGAATCAAATGCAGTTTCTATGCAATGGTAACCCTATGTATTTCTCTTCTCCATGATCCTACATTCTCTCCCTTTGAGTACCTGCTCCAGCTGCTGACCTTCATGACCCATTACAGCTGCTGGTACAGATTATCTTCTCCTCTCTGCCCCTGGCTGTTTGCCACAACTTTCTTCCCACATCCTAGACATCGGTTCCTACCATCGCTTCATGCCATCTGTGTCACTTTGTCGATTGTGCAGTAATGAAATGTTTGGTGAATTAAATATACATATATCTTTTTTAACAGTACTATGCCCTTAGGTTTATATTTTATTATTAAGACAAAGAGATTACAGATTTGAGCTAAGAAGCAGTCAGATGAACTGTTTAGACTGGGCAAAAGCGTGAATGTGACAACTGCTGTTGGTGTGGGGAAAGTCTGGGACAGACATTGGGAATGGTGACCTCTTCACCTCAACCAGCAGCAGCTGGAACAATTTGCCCTCAGTCTGCCTGTCTTTGGCTTGCTGAATGCGCAAACACTCTGCACAGTCTGGAGCTGCCTGAATTTACAAATACCTCTGGCCACCCTGAAACTGCATTTTTTTTTCTCCAGCAAATAAATGATTCACCAGCCAAAAATAACACAAGCACCTATCATAACAGCTCCAGTTGCTCCAGCATGTCTCAGAGCTTACAGCAGACCTGTTTACTGTTAGTCTTAATGTGGAGGAGGTGCTGGCTATGTCTGGTTGTCCATCTGTGCTTGCCATCAGGACTCTGCAGGAAGCATTGCCCTGAATCACAGAATTGTAGGGGTTGGAAGGGACCTCTAGAAAGCATCAAGTCCAACCCCCTGCTAAAGTATGTTCCCTACATACATGTTGCACAGGTAGGCATCCAGATGAGTCTTGAGTATCTTCAAAGAAGGAGACTCTATAACCTCTCTGGCAGCCTGTTCCAGCACTCCAACACCCTCACAGTTAAGAAGTTCTTCCTTGTGTTTGTATGGAACTCCCTGTGTCCCAGTTTCTGCCTACTGCCCCTTGTTTCCACTGCTGCCTACTTCTGCCTAACCTGGGTGTTCCTCTTTCTCACTCAGCACCCTGGTTTCACCACCCTGATGGAGAACTAAGGGGAGTAAATGGACAGAGCTTGCAAGCCACTGGTAGTCTAGAGTTTGTCTGCCTTGAGTGCTTGTGAATACAGCAGTTTTGTTTGAAAGGAACCTCGCTTGGAAACAAATTGTGAGCAAAAATCTCTGACATTATTTGTGACAAATCATTTGGTCAGTGCTATGTACCTCTGTCTGATTCTTCCACAGACAGGAGTTACTCAGCTCTAGAGCAAACAGCACTGCTGCACACTCTCCAATTGCCAGTCTGGAAGAATGCACTGTGTTTCCATGAGTATTTGCTCTGACTTAAAAATCTGCTTGCTTTGTCTGCGTTCACACCTCTCTGCTCACGAGCTGTGAATGCTCAAACAGGAGAGATTTACTCCTCCGAATTAACTACCGAAAGCAAAATCAAACCTCGTTGTTTGCAAATGGAGTCATGTGTTTTAATGTGGGATTCTGTTTTTGGAAAGCCTTGCCAGGTCTCTGAACAAAGGCTGCAAAGTAAGCCAGACATGGGTGTGCCAGTCCTTGGTAAATAAAAACATGCATGTGCATAAGTACGTCTAATGAGTGCTCAGACAGAATTAACTGCAAGATCCATATCTTGCCAGCAAATCTGCTGAGCAGCCTGTTTTATTTATTTATTTTTTTAAAGTAGCAGTGCCTCAGGCAAAGGTCTGTGTGGCCCAGTGAGCAAAAGCTGAAAATGGTCTGTGTGGAACTTGCGGAGTCACGGCCGCCCTCTATGCTGTCTCCAGGCAGTGGAAACCATCAAGGGCCTTTGTAAATCCTCCTGATTATGAGATTTGTGCTTATCCAAGCGGGAAAATAACACTGCTATGGGACCTGTGTGGCCCGTTGCCACCAGAAAGGAGTTTTGCAATAAACAGTTGGCAACCCTTTGCAGGAAAAGTCAGCATGGATCTGCAACTTCAAACAAACTTGAGGGTTGCAAGGAATCGGGGGCTGATGCATGCCTTGAGTCTCATCAGGTAACGTGTTTCTGGGCAATGCTAGCTTCTCTTTTAGCGTGAACAGCAGGAGGGATAAGGACTTGCAGGTACCGGTGGATGGCAAGCTGGACATGAGTCAGCATTGTGCCCTCACAGCCCAGAAAGCCAGCCAACTCCTAGGCTGCATCCAAAGAAGCATGGCCAGCAGGGCGAGGGAGGTGATCCTGCCCCTCTGCTCTGTGCTGGTGAGGCCTCACCTGGAGTACTGCATCCAGATGTGGAGTCCTCAGTACAGGAGAGACATGGACCTGCTGGAGTGCATCCAGAGGAGGGCCACCAAAATGATCCACGGGATGGAACACTTCCCCTATGAGGACAGGCTGAGGTTCAGCCTGGAAAAGAGAAGGCTCTGGGGAGACTTTAGAGAATTCAACTGTTGCTTTTGTCCTCATGTTCTCTTCATCTTCTGGTCTACAGAACCCCCTGTGCAATGGTGGCACTGGTGTTCAAACAGTGCCTGGCCCCAGTGGCTTTCAGCAAGCATTGCTTTGCTGGGGGATATTTTGGATCAGTGCTAAAAGGTTTCTGAGGTGTGCTGGGGTGTGGGGGGTGGTGGAGTCTCCTTCTCTGGAGATGTTCAAGACCTGCCTGGATGCCGACCTGTGCAACCTGCTGTAGGGAACCTGCTTTGGCAGGGGGTTGGACTCAATGATCTCTAGAGGTCCCTTCCAACCCCTACAATTCTGTGATTCTGTGATATATGGTGGAGGAAATGAGGAACAATGAAATGGCTATTCATTTTTAATGCTTTATGTACTCTAATATAATTGGGAGAGTGGTTCACAGGGCTAGGAAATGGCATGACTTTTGCCTGAGGGCTCTATCTGGTGTATATGAGATCTGCAAACAGTAGCCATCTCAAAGTCTTTCAGGAAACTTGCACAAATTGTTTATAATGCAAAATGTTAGGCAGCCTAAATACAGGAGAAAGGACCCAAATGATCATGTGTTGCACTGCTTTTTATGCTTGCTTTTTAACCAGCATTTCTGTGCTCCAAGCAGACGTGGTCTCCCCCCACTGCGTTGCCTGCCAGCAATGAGTTTGGTTTATCAGATCCTACAAAAAATTCATGTTTGTACACCATAAAAATCATCCAGTTCAGTGGTCCTGATGGAATGGACTTAATGTCTGTGTCACCTGGTGAGATAAGATGACTGTTGGGGTTGGAAGCATTATTAGGACTAAAGGCTGGCCTGGCATCGCTGTGTATGAGGTAGCCATGGAAACCTGCTCTCCAGGTAGATAATCAGCCAAGTGCCACCACCTGGGTCCAAATACAGGCAGAAGAGCCAAAGAAGCCAACGCTGGTGGAGATCTTTGAGCTGTTTGGAGAGCTAGAAGGATGCAGAATACAGGGTGGTGGGGCTGCAGCAGAGGGGGAAAAAAGCTTTTTATATCCAGCAACAAAATGCTATCAGGGGAAGGTGTTTGTGGAACACACAATGCAGTATGGCTGTAGATGCAGAGTAAATGAAATACGTATCCACAGTTGTTAGAGGCAGGACCAGCACCTGGGTCTCCCTCCCCCATTCTCACTCTCTCCTCTCTCATCTTGCAGCTTCCAATGCTCTTTGTCCGTAAGTTGGGCACCTTCCACCTGGTAGTCCTCCGTTAGCACCACGGCACCTCCTCCTAACTGCAGCTGTGCTTTCAAAAGCGATGGCATGGCAAACTTGTGAAAGAACCTCATTATAAGGATTACTGTCCTATTGTTGTTGTTGTTATTATTGTTTTTATTATTATATCCACAGTGCAGTGTTGCATCTGAAATGAAATGCTCAGGAAGATGAATGAACAGCCCTTGCAATAAGTAGATACAGAGACTTCTCCGAGAGGTGAGTCTCGTTCTCATGTGCGTTATTGAAATAGGTATAATTATAGCTCATGTGGCTTTTTATTGCTCCTGAAACTCTCTTGGTATCTAGCTGTATAAATGAAGACTTAATGATATGAGTCATCAGAGATCTGTGGTCTTGATGACAGCAAGCTCTGCAGTATGTATGTTTTCTTGTCTCTGTTTTGCTCCTTGACAGATTCTTAAAACGATCTCTGCATTTTGGTATGAGGAGAAAATCAGTATAGATTTTTAATACATTCATTTATATTCTTTACTCTTGTTCTCTCCCTGCTTTGTTGTCATCTCTTCTGCTGTAATGTGGGTAAATCTGTTTTTGTGCTGCCTTTAGATTCTCTTTGCCTTAACCTTGATTTATTACTGGCCACCCTGTCTTCATGAAGTGCTGCTTTGCTTTTTGCATGGTTTGTTCCAACATATCCTTGCTGCCCAGGCATTTGGACTGCTCCTGTGCTGCTCATCCACCTTCCTGCTGGCCTTCACAGACTGCCCTTACTCTCTAGTTGCCACCGACACATTTTGCATCATCAATAAAGATTCCTACTTTGCTGCTTTTTCAGGCAGAAAAACACATTCACTATTTCCCAGTATTTTGGAGGGCTTTTCTACAGATGGAAATGAGTACATGGGAAACTAGATTGCTACTCTGACCTCCTGCCTTGTGGAGCCTCTTCAAGCTCCCTAGGGGAAACTGCCCCTTAAGATGACAAATACTGGACCCTTTGACTTGACTACTTGTTATCCACTCTTCTGGCTCTTACTCAAGCCAAGTTTGTGCTCAAAATCTTCAAGTAGAGATTTGGAAGAGCTGGTTTTGGGGCTGCTGCTGCTGAACTGGTTTGCAGCAGTCACACCAGTCCTTCCAGACCATGTGAGCGAGAGCCTGGGCTTGGGTGTGAATCATAAAGTTATTAAGGTTGGAAAAGATCACTAAGACCATCTAGTCCAACCAAAAACCACCATGCCCACTGACCCATGACCCTCAGGGTAGTGAGTGCGTAAGTGGCCGTTCTCTGTGCATAGTTCATACATGGGATGTAGGACAGTGATTGTGCTGTATTTCCACATTCATTTTCTGTGCCAAATCCCCTTACACTGCAAGCCATGTCTTACTGCCCTATAGCACGTGAACCATCATAAACCCCCCTGTCCTTCTCAGGACAGTTTGTATCCTTTTTGACCCGTGCAGGATCCCGGTGTGTTTTTGGATCTATGATCTTGTCCCATAATCTCTGGTCTTTTTCCGTCCTTTCACTGACAGCCAGTCCCCACTTCACATCTTGAATTCCATCTGCCTGGAAAACAATCAGCAAATAAACATTGGAGGAAATATCGGGGAAAAAAAATAGCCATGCCTAGCAATTGGCTTGCTGCCTCCAGGCAGGTGCAGGCTGCATGTGAACAGCAGCATTTCACTCAGCAGTGCTTTTGAAAGCAAGGAGCTGACGGCAGTGGGAAAGCTGAGTGATGTGATGGGTCTGGGGCCAGGGAAGCATCATGTGTGGATGCCAAGCAGACGGCTGAATTTTAGACGCCGCTAATTTTAGTTCAGCCTGATTTGCTTCACTGAGCTCTCCTGGAGCTCTGAGTGCTGTCATTCAGGTTAATCAGAATTCTTTGCTAGACTTAGAGCTGTAGGGTACATGAGAATCTGATCTGAGCTTTTTCTTTCTTAAGATGAGGCTTTCCTATGTTTTCTAACCTTACAATAAATGCATGCTAGAGCAATAGAAAAACCATGAATCTGCTCTTCCATGTTTTCTCTCCTCCTCACTATGATCTTTAACCTATTTGCAGGTAAAACATCTCACGATATGTAGCCAAATGAACGTTCAAGTACTCAGCTCCCCTCCTTGCCCCTCACTCCCTGTTCTCATGCAGGCTTATGGATCATTGCCTGGCAGCAACAGAGTGAGCTAGGAGTGGGATGAGCGCTGCTCCTGCCACAACAGCTCTTTCCAGGCGATCCTTTATCCCAGGCGACCTGTGTGTAGGTATGTGGGCTGACAGCATGGCTGTTTCTGACAGTGCAATCATCCAGCCCTACTATTAAGCAAAGCCATGTTCTGGCCCCCAGTTGCAACTGCTGCAGAGAGCCAGGGATGGAACAGCTTTCCCCATCTTCTTTAAATTCTGTAACTTCTTTTTCAGTGTTCATCTTCGTGGCTCAGTTTTCTGTGTGCTTGCAGTGTTGGTGGTGGGGAGACTGTCTCTGTGCTCAGGTGTGAAAATGAGAGAATGGTTAAAACCTGTTTTGAAAACAGACTTGGACTAACAGAGTTTAATTTAATCTCCAGGTTACCATTTGAAATTCATTTCGTGCGGGTTGTGATGAAAGGCGGTTACCTCCAAACAAATGCTCAGTGCTTCACCTAATGAAAACTGGCACTTTGCAGCAATTCCTGAGCAGGCACGGCAGCAGCTGCTATGGGATGGCTGAGGCCATCTGTTCCTCCCTCAGCTGCTGGCCACCATGGTGGCCCCTTTCCCTGACGATTGTGATGGAGGGGATGGTGGGGCTCAGCACATGACTGCAGTTGGATGCATGGCTGGTGCAGCAAGCAAATCTTGTAGTTATATGGTGCTTCTCCTGGCAGCAAGGGCAAATGAAGTGGTTGCTGTCCTGAGCTGCTTAGTTAATATAATCATAAAGTCATCTAGGTTGGAAAAAGCCTTCAAGATCACTGAGCAAACTATCAACTTCACCTACTGAGTATCATCACTAAACTATGATAGAATATTCTGAGTTGGAAGTCACCCACAAGGACTATCGAATCCAGCCCCCCACAGCTACCCGCACAGGCTACCGCAAATTCAAACTGTGTTTGTGAGTGTTGTCCAAACACTCCCTGAGCTCCAGCACTCAGGGCCGTGCCCACTGCCCTGGGCAGGCTGTTCCATTCCCACCTGGTGCAGACCCTGTCCCTAACCTGCAGCTCCCCTGACGCAGCTCCATGTCGTTCCCTCAGGCTCTGTCGGGGTCACAGAGAGCAGAGGTGCCTGTGAGGAGCTGCAGCCACCATGAGGCCTCCCCTCAGTGCCTCTGCTCTGCGCTGAAGAGACCTCCTATTTCTGGGCTTTTAGCCCAGAAGCGTATTTTAACCAAGAGCTGTTGTACAATACTGGTAGATTGCAGGAAAGTCATGTCCCTGTCCATCTCCTTTCTTACCCTAAATCCATTCAAAACTAGATACGTTGCTTTCCCTTTGTGGTCTTGATCTAGCAGGTTTCACAAGCTTTCTTTGATTCAGATTTTAAAAGCTGTACCAATAGAAGGTGATGCCACATTCCTTTATTTCCTTTCTTCTAACAGTACCTTCTTGGCATGCTGCAATCAGCATGTCAGTACTGCGGTAACATCAGCCTCACCACACCAACCAGCCTAGTTCACATCAACAAGACCAGCCAGCCTAGCTCTGCAGTGGCTCTTCTCTCAACACTTCTGTTCTGGAAGGGGAGCATGGATAAAGGCAGCTTTTTTACTAGGATGATGGAGCTGTGCTTTCAACAAGCAGTTTATTTTTTCATGATTTCCCTGCAAAAGCAGCTGTTGAACTTGCAGGTGGTTCCCAGGTGGATCCTTGGGATCTGATTGCAGTGTTTGTGTTATGCCTCCCACTGGCGTGCTGACCCTGCCCTGAGAAAAGTCTCTGCTGCAGGATCAAAGCAAGAAGGAATTTGCTTCACCTCAGAGGTACGTTCCCATCTTGCATTAACATCCAAGTTGCTTGCAAAGATCTGTGGAGATCAAGTGCACAAAACTGGTGGAGTTTTTGTGCAAATATGAGGCAAATGGGAGCCCTAGTCACAGAAGTTTAATAACTAACTATAAATTTCAAGACTGGGATGTTTATCCAAAACAAACCAAGACACGCGGTAAAGTTCTCATGTTGGTTAGGAAAGTCTGCCCGTGATATCAATCTTATTTCTGCTGAGGCAGAATTCTGCCTTGTGCTGATGGGCCTCCTGTCCTCCTGGGGAAAGGGAGATATGACAGCCAAGGGCCACCACACAGCCCAGCAAGGCATTCCTGCAATGCCTTTGTTCATGCTGTGTTTCTGGGAGCTGGTCCAGGCCCACTTAAAAGTGTAAATACTATTTTATTTCTTGGGTTGAGTTTTGATCCATGAGGCTTTATCTTTGGACACAGCCATTTCCCAGAGCAGTGTCCCCGTCCTCGTGATGAAGGGCTCTGCAGTATAACCTTTGGTTCTCTAAAACATAGCATGCTTTGAAGACCTGAAACGTTTCCTGGCTGATTGATGGCAACTCATTTAATGCAACGTGTAGGTCTAAAACTATGAATATATCAAGCTGTGGAACAATATATTTCTTCTTCTCCAGGATGCTTATCGTACACTGCTCTTGCTTAAAATGGAGGGAGCAATTGCATTTTATCACCTGTTTGCAAAAAGTCATTATCAGAGGCTAAAAAATTTACAGGCAGGACCTCTGAAATCTGACATCTTGACACATAGCATTTTTATTGTTTGTTCTACGGCACACACTGAGAGGCAATGAAAGCAGAGTCCTCCCATCCAGGCAAAGGTATCATACTATTAGTGCAGGGACAAAAAGGAAATTGATGTCAAAAATTGAATTTTGTTTACATCTTTAGGGACTGGGCTCAGTTTGGCACTTTGTGATTTAAATATTAATTTTATTTTATCAAATTTGGCTGACTACCTGAGGACCCTTTTTAACATGTCAGGTTTTATAATGAATATGTCATCAATAGGAATTTATTTATTTTTGTCACATTACCCCATAAGGGCTGAACCCTCCAAATTGCAATACATGTATGACAATAATCACATATGGCATTGTTTGTAAATGACTATGAATAACACAGAAACTTTAAAGGATTCTCTGCCATGACAGATGTGACAATTTTTCTCCTTATCAATGTTTAGGAAATGAAAATAAGCAAAATAATGTACAATTTATGGAACTTCTGGGCTTGCCAGAGTTGCTTAGGCA